TATTGGGAGTGTTGTCTTTATTACTGAAGAGTTTGTCAACTACGGACATTTATTTAGACCCATTGTGTTTGAAGGAAAAAAGGTAGGAAAATTAGAAGTTGGATATATTTTGTTTAATGCTTTTAAAAATGAGATTGACAAACCTATTCACATAGACTTAAAGAATAAGATCATTGGTCATAGAGGATTTGGTGCTACAAACAGAAATATTATAAAAAATTCTGTTGTTATTGAAAATACTTTAAATGCATTTTTTACTTCTTCTAGACATCATACTGACTTTGTTGAATTCGATGTTCAACTAACTCTGGATAAGATTCCTATAATTCATCACGACTTTTGGCTTCAATTAAAAACTACAGATTTTCTAGGACATCCCCAAGTGATTAGAGTTCCAGTTAACAAATTAACGTATGAACAAATTAGAAAATTACAACCAATTGTACTTGATCATAATTATTATGAAAATTTCTTAAAAAGCCATAAAATTTCTCTTCACACATCAACAACACACCCAATTTCAGTTGATGACTCTACTTTTGTTGATCGTTTAAAAAAACAAGATGAATTAGAATTAGCTGTTGCTCAATTACTTCAAGTTGATCCAAATTCTTCCATTTATGAGTTTAAAGAATTTGATGAAGAGGGAATGATTAAATCAGAGAAAAGTAGTAGAAAAGTATCAGAGTTTCAGTCTAATTTCCCAACTCTAGCTGAATTACTTCAAATGATTCCTGAAGAAATAGGGTTTGACATTGAAATTAAGTATTGGAACTGTCCAGAAGAAGGAAGAATTCTTGGTTATATGGAACGAAATGAATATTTAAATAGAATTCTTCAAGATATTTTTACATATGGAAAGAATAGAAAAATATTTTTCTCTTCATTTGACCCTGATACTGTTGTTTTGTTAAATAAAAAACAGATGAAATATCCTATTCTTTTCTTAACCGAAGGGATGTTTGATAATCGCATTGTTGATACAAGAAGACATTCATTAATCAATGCAATTAATTTTGCTCTTAGACATCAAATTATGGGTATAGTTTGTAACGCAAAGGCTGTACTTAAAGAACCACAACTTGTAGAATTTGCACATGAAAAAGGGCTTATTGTTATTACTTATGGAGATGAAAATGATGATTTAGAAATTGCAAAGAAAGAGTATTCAATTGGAGTTGATTCCTTGTGCACTAATAGAGTTGTTGATGTTGGACTTCAAATCACTAAAACAAAGTTAAATTAATTTTTGTTCTTTAAAACTATGCTCTTCTTGTTCATTTTATTGTTTATTGTCTTAATACACTCTAAATATCTAAACAAAAAAAATTATTATTTTTAAAAGATTTGTGTTAATTATTATATATTTTATAAAATGGTATTATTTCTTTTAAAACGACACATACTTTTCAATCGTCTAATTGTTTTTATAACTTCAATTATTATTTCACAACAGAAACTGAATTAATACAACGTTTTACAAACATTAATCATTTATTTTATTTTCATTAGTCCTATTCATAAATAGTTATAGTTATAAAGGATAATTCATATGTATGAATTATCAGTAAGAAATTTTTTAAGATATCTCCAGTATTAAAAGAAAAAAAAAATAAAAAACAATAATACAGTTATACATGTCGTATCGTTTTAAGGATTTAAAGATACTATTAAAACTAAAATTATTCTTTTCGTATCAAAAATATTACTTAAAGAAAATAAATTAGAAGAAATAGACTGAATAGTTTATGTTTAAATGTTTATTCTTCTTTTGAAAAATATTTTATTTAACAACAGGAAGTAATGTGAGTTAGTCAAGAAAAAAATTCTTTCAATGAAATTATTCTGATAAAAAAGTTATTAACCAATAATTATTTTATACAAATCTGTTTGTTCCTCATGATAATACTTTTGTTAAATTAAATTTATCAATAGTATTAGTTTATTTTCTTGACAAATGTAAGGTATAAATTCTTTTAAAGAACTTGACATAATTTACTATACAAATAGAATTAGAAATAAACTAATTTTTAATAAATTAAAAATAGAAAAAAGATAAATGATCAATTATCAACACTCTGAGGAGATGTAATGATCTTTGTAGATTGGGTTCTATTAATATCAAAACTTTGTCTAGTTAAAGGAACTTCTTGTTGATTTGGTTCTCTAGAAAGATCTAAACTTTTTCTGAATATTTCTAAATCACCATCACTGTCTGTGTTACATTTTTCTTCATTCATAATAAGTGGTGTTTCTGTTCTATCAAGATTGAGTGTTGTATTGTTCTTTAAACCTTCATGAATAGCAACAGAAATTTGGTGAAGATCATTACTGACTTGGTTTTTCAAATTATCTTCTGTGGACCGTTTGTCAAATTCCTCTCTTAACAAGTTAAGATGTCTTGACTCTTCAAACAAACAATATTTATAATCAATGCTTCTGAGATTTTTTTTAAGTAATGTATTTAAAGCAACTATCTCTCCCATAATTTTGTTAAGTAACTTCTTTAGATCAAGAGCATTGAATTGTGAAGGACTAGTCACTGGAGCTGGAGTATTAAGTTGTTTATTTCTACTAAAAATAGTGAATTTTTGTGGGGTTGCAGAAACATTTTGTGCTGTTGATTTACTTTGTTCTAGAACTTGAAGATAATAAGCTACTCTATTTCTGACAATAATAGTTAATGCATTTCTTATATCAGTACATTGTGCTTTCATTAAGTCTTCAATTCCATCAAGAATTCTTCCAGAAATAATAACATTTGGTGAAAGGTAATGATGAAGATAAGGTGTTATTAATGAAAGTAATAATAATGTTTGGTGAGTTGTTGTAAACATTGTTGCTCCAATGCGTTGAACAACTCCTTTTTGAATGAGTTCTTTTCCTAGTATCAATCTTCTCATAGAATTATTATACAATATTAACATATCTTTTGCACTACTTAAAGCACATTCTCCTAACAAAGGAAATTTGATAATAATTTCTCTATATCTTTCCAATGTTGGTAATAAAATGCTCATTGTATTTGTCATAAAGTAAGTTTCATTATTAATGACAATAATCTTTGTTTTACCTTGTTCATCTTTTTCTCCAAGAGAACATGTTAATGGTGGAATAATAATTTGTGTTACAATAGTATTAATAATTCTAAAAATCTCATCTTCTACTTCTATGATATTTAAATCATCAAAGTCAATGATTTTTTGAAGTTTATTCATATTATTCTTGTGAAGATTATTAAAGAAACCATTTAAATAGATTTGATGAATACTTTCAAGAGAATTAAATTTCTTTTTATGAACAACATGAAGTGAATGTAAAAAGTCTTTTATCATATTACCAAACATAACAATTTCTTCTACAGAAACTCTTTCATAATTTCCTTTTTCTATGATTATTCTAGTTGTTTTTCTGATTGAATCTCTGACTACAGTCATCATTTTATTTACTTTATCAATTAAACTTTTTTGAGGAGTTTGATTTTGTTCTAATTCAAGTTGAATTGACATTTGAAAGATTACAACTAAACACCCAAGTCGAGTAATTTTATTCATTACATTCTTAACATATCCTTCAAATTCATTAAACGAAAGTTCTTTTAGTTTATCAACATAGAATTTATATTCTTTTAAATTTCCATTTCCTTCATCAAACAAATTTACTAATGGTGATTATGTTTTATTATTTTATAAAAATTAAAGAATAGAATAATAAAACAATGAAACAAAAGAAAACAAACATTGATATTTTGGGAATGTTTTGTATGGAAGACTAATAAATGCACGATAAATCATATTCTTTACATTCTCAATAAGAAAATCTAATTTACCAATTTTTTCAAAACCAACTATAATGTCAGTAAATGTTTTTCTTTCTTGATCAAATTCATTCATCCAACTTTGTTCATTAAATTCATATATTGTTGATGCTTGATAATTTATTTTATTTAATATTTCATAAATATCTTTCTTTTTCTCTATAATTTTATCTGTAATAATTTTTTTGGTTTCATTTGCTTTAACAATAAGTTGTTGAGAACATTGGATAGTAGATAATTTATTTAATCCATTTAACGCACGATCAATCATATCAATAGCTTGAATTGGGTCAATTTCAATTGTATTATTTGCGTCTTCGAGTAAATTAGAACATGAGTGAATTTGTTCTAACAAATGTTGAACACTACATAAATTTCTATATCGTAAGAATGAAAGAGATGATTTTGAAGTATATGATTCTAAAGTAGTTTTGATTTGATAGAAATAGGTAGTAATTTCTGTTAATTGGTCTGCAATATTTCTGTATTGAGTTTCAAGAGCATCAACTGTTGATAATGAATTTAATAATACATCTGATTGTTGCATTAATTCGGTGTATAAACTTTCATCTACAATTCTCAAAAATGTTTTAGATTTGAGAGAAGCAGTAGGTAAATCTAATAAATTTGATTGTTTACGTTTAGCAAATTCTAAAACTGATTGAACACCAGCAAGATGATTTTTTTCAAAGTTTTGTTCAATTATAGCCTATGCTATGAATTATTTAACATTTATTAAAAACTACAAAAACAAACTTGTCCAAATTCTTTTGTTAACATTTCTTTAATTGCATCAACACGATATTCATCAATGTCATTTTCTTGCTCAATGTCTTGGAAAATAGTGAAGTCTTCAGATGTCTTTTGTGTTGTTGAACTTGGATTATAAAAAATATCACTAGGAAGGTTTTGCAAAGCAGATAATTCAGAATTTATTTCTATTGAAGGGATTGAAGTGTAAGGAAGAGTTTGTTGTTTAATGACGACATGAGAATTTTTTAATGAAGGAAGTAAGGCAGCTATTTTGTAAATACCTTTGAGCTTACAGTCTTCGTCAATTCTTATCATAAAATAACTTAAAAAGTCCAGTATTTTCAAGATGAGAAAAAGACAAATCAAAATTGAGAGGATTGTTTCTTTTGTAAGAAGATAAAAAAGAAAGAGAAACAGACAAAACAATGAATTAGAGAAGAAGAAGAGCAACATTTAAATTAAGGAAAGTAAATAAAATGAATAAAACACTTACTGCTAACATTGGAATAATATAAACTTTCTTTGGAAGATAAATAAATGGTAAAATTGCATATCCTAAATAAGTGATATAAATATAATAAATAATAGATAAACAAGTAATTATATTACTAAATAATGTTGCTGATAATGTTGGTTTAAAAAGAAAAGGTGATAATATAAATATAACAACATGTGATACTAATAAATAACAGAAATATGCATTAATATGAATGTCATAAGAATATCGTACAGTAAATGAATCCCCCGTTGTAAAAGAACTTTTACATAAATAGAACAGAATAACAGCTATTATAATACCAATAATCATTGGAATAATAACATCAAAAAGAATATAAGGAATAATCCATCTGAGTGAAACAAATGTTATAGAGAAAATAAATGATAAAATAATATTAAATAAAGTTACAATTTTTGTAATTGCATGATCCCTTCTATTCCATTGTTGTGTTAAACTATGTTGATATTTACAACTTTCATATACATTTTGAGGATGTAATATAATATTAATTAAAAACCAATCATAATATTCAGTGTTTCTTCCAATATATTTATAATATAAATTTGTAATGAATTGTAACATAGTCTTTATAATATACTTTTTAGATTCTTTGTTTTATGTTTTTTTTTTTCTAAAAATTTTAATTGTTTTTGTTCTGAACTTTCCAATTCATTCCTTTTTAACTCTATATTAATGAACCATTTATTTACTCCATCTTTGGATGTTGATTTCTTATTTAAAATTGCTGATTTTGATGGAGATGGTAAAATAGGTATGGATGATGCTCAACAATTCTTCCAATACACTCACCTCCCTCAAAACACATTGGCTATCATTTGGACATTATCTGTTCCACCAAAAAAACCAATGGAAATACCTCAATTTGTGACTGCATTGAAATATGTTTCATTTGCACAAAAGGGAATTCAGGTTGATAAGACTTTATTAACAAACTCAACTCCACCCTATCCATCACCAAATATTCAATGTCCATTTCTCCTTAACTCATCAAAAATTAATCAAACACTTCAATCTTTTAATCAATTTGTAACTCCAGATAATCCAAAAGTATCAAGTTTGTTTCTTTTCAGGAAATATAATACTTCATCGTTATTTTAATCTTCTTTCATCTCTTAAACATTAAGTTCATTTTATTTAGAAAATCAGTTATTTGAAATTGTTATTCAACTCAATGGTGTCATTAATATTGATGAACTTATGAAACTTTCTGATATAGATCGAGACTCACAACTTAATATTATTGAATTTTTCATTGCTATGGCTTGTTTAAATCATTATATTCTATTTAAAAAATTACCAATTAAAATTCCCGTTTATTTCATCAGTTTTCTTGTTTGTCTTCTCTTCTTTCTTTTTATATTCTTTCCTCATCTCATTTAGAAAAAAAAATTTGGTGCAACAGAAAATGATATATTTAAATCTTCACATCCTTTACCTTCTCGTCCAAAGTCTTTATCTCGTAGTGTCCCAACTCTTTATTTAGAAAGGAAGCAATCTCCAATAATTGAAATCTCTTCACCTAAATCAATACAAAAAACTACTCCTAATGATAAAATAAAACAACAACAATACATGTTACATCCAATTCCAAGTACAGGAACAATGTCTTATGACAATTTAATCACTCCAGAATTACGTCATCGTGGTTCATTACCAATAAAAGTTCAATCAATAGCTTTACCTATTACTTCAACAACAATTTCTTCTCAAACAAAATCATTAAAAAAGAAGAAACTTTCTTCTTCAAATAGTGAGGTATTTACAAGTGATACTATTCAAGAAACTGTAAAACCATCTAGTTCAAATCGTTATTCAATGGCATTTCTAAAATCTCCAATCACTTCTCCTCAAAATCTTCAGAGAAAATCCTTTCAATACTCAGTATCACCTTCATTGTCTCCACATAACAATGAACCATTATTAAAGTCAGATCTTATTTATCAATCATGTTCTGTGTCTCCATACTTATCAGATGAAGAATTAACTCCTTATCAAAAAAGTAGAAGACATTCAATATTAAATATTGATGACAACACATCTTTTCCTTCTTTTTCATTTTCATATGATTCAAGTCTTTCTATTGATTCAACACTTCAGTCTTTTGATATAAAAATGAAACCTCATAGACTTTTAGACTTAGACAGTATCATATCATCTCTTTCTACACAAAAAGCAGAATTACTTGCTGAAATTACAGAACTTCAACAAGAAATTGATAAACTAACAACTGTACTTGAAAGTACTGAAGTGTTAGTTCAAGAGAATTCTTCACAACCAACTGAAGAATTAGAAGGTTATTAATGTCTTTTCATACCAATTTTTGTCACTCACATTCTTTCTGTTGTTAATTTAATTATAGTTTAGTTATAGTTAGAATATGGTTATTAAAATAGAGAAAAATAAAAAGAAGGAACTAAGAAATTGGTTATTTATTATAACGAAATGATATCTTTTAGAGGGATTTGGATTATTCAAAGGAAACGTAGTGACTTTATCGATCGAGTTGAAACGTCAACATCACAAAGTGAATTTTATGATTATTCTGTTATCTTTTCAAAACAATTTCCAACAGTTAATCAAAGATTAAAAAGTTTACAACAAGAGAGATATAGTAATCTTCCAAAAGACAATGAGATGTGTGATTATCTTAAACAAGCTATTGAATTTTCTACACATATATCACATGAAGTTAAAACAGAAGATACAGTAATTATTTCTCCTGATGCACCAATGATTTTTACACTTTCCTTTTTAGGAAAAGATCCAATTTCTTGTGTTTATTCAGTTAAAAACAATTCAACATTTTTTATTACTATTCCAGCTGTATTATCACCTTCAGAACAAAGACATTATATCAAACAAAAGAATATATTAATGGGAATAAGCTTTTTAGAAGGTATAGAAAAATTATGTGGAAAGTTTTTTGATAGTGAAAAGAAAAGAACAAAAGAAGAATACAATCAAGCATTAAATTATGAACTTGCAAGAAAATTACAAATATGTTGTCCATATGGTACTCCAATAGAAAGTTTAGATAGTGAATGGATTAAATCATTAATTAAATTAGAAGATAAAACGAAAAAAACAAATAAAAATAATTCTAGTATTAATAGAAGATTTAATATTTCAGAACTTTTATTATATTCTAACGAAGAAAATACTCAAGATGGAAATTTGTCTATCATTGGATTTAAAGGAGTTGTTCAAGCAGAATTAAATCTTCAAGGAGCACCTGAAATGTCATTAGGATTTTGTATTGGTAAAGAAGGAAATGTGAATTTAGATCAAGTTATACAAAATTTATCATTATATTATTCTGCTATTCCAACTTCAACAATAGAAAATTTTGCTACTGACATTAAAATTTCTCCACCAAATTATCCATTTAATTTATGTTATTATAATGTTAATCCTGAATTATCTATATCTAATACTAAAACTATTCAACAATTATTTACTGCATCTTATATTATTGATTATGATCATTCTGTATTTAAAATTCAAATTATAATTGATGTCGATCCAGTATTTACTAGACTTAAATATGATGTTGTTTCTATAGAAATTCCATTATATGGAGTTAAGTTAGATAGTATTACTAATTATTCACCAGCAAATCAAATGTTTACTCAACCAGAAAAAATAAATGATCATTTACTTACTAAAATTATTAAATTTGATGAAAATAATAGAGCAATTATTGCATTCCAATTCACTGCTGAAATTAATGAAGAAGCTACTGAATATCTTCGAATAAGAAAACCTTCATTTATTTCTGATATGCAAAATATTTTTAAACCTCATATTATCATTAAAACAAAATTACAATCATCATTATCTGGATTTAACATTGATACGAGAAAAATTACTGTCGTTGGAACTAAAACACCTTACCAATTCTCTATTCAACAAGAAACTGCTATTGAAGCTGTTATCTTTGCTAGACATTTATATGGTGAAATTAATCAATAGAGAAGAATATTATCTTTCTCTACATTTAATTTAATTTAAATCCATTCCTTTTTATTTTCTTCTTTTAAAAGAACTTTAAATTAAACATAAAAAAAAAAAAATCAAATGAACCAAAACAATATTAAATCTCTATTAGAAAATGTTATTCAGTCAGTTGGTGGAAATGAAATTCATAATAACATCATTAAACAATTTTATCAACTTGTTGATCAAAATATAGAAAATAAATTAAATAGTTTAGTTAATGTTCCTTTAGACAATTTAGTATGTGAAACTAATAATGCTATCAATCATTTATTAAGTCCAATATTTCATTTTCTTCTTCCTTTTCTTACTTCAACAACAAAAGAACCAGAAATGAAGTTTAATGATACTATTTTAACTTACTTAAAAAGATTTGATTTAATGAAAAATGAATTACCTGTTTTACCTTTACCCAAAAAAGAAAGTCTCAAAGAAGTTTTAGATCTTCTTGATGTAAGTAAAAGAATTGATGTTAATGGTGATAATATAGAAGAATGTAGTTTTGAGTTAATTTCTTTAATTGATAAAAAAATTTCTCTTCCATCTTGTAGAAATTTATTATATTTTAACCAAATTGAAATGGATGAAGATGACATTGTTATAGAAGGAACGAATAATTCTATTCCAATTCCTTATACTCTTTCTACTCAAACAAAAGATATTATTGAATTTACTAATGCTATCACTTTTGGATTATGTGGATCAAGTACAATAGATATTGATAATCATTTGGAATTAGATCCTATTTCTGTTGGTAAATTCTTTGGTAAATGTCTTCGTGGGGGATTTATGCCACTTGAAAAAGATTTTCTTTTTAAAACATTAACTATGCAAGACCAACGTATTGATGCTGCTGTTTTATTAGGATTAATCATTCAATTTAGATTAACAAATAATCCTATTATAGATGAAATTAGTCAAATTATGCTTAACACTTCATCTATTGGATCTCCTTCATTAGAGAGTCAAAGTCTTGCATTAATTACATTGGCTTTTAATTCACAATCTAATCCTTCAAAAGATAAAGATAATATTATTCTTTCACATTTATGTTCTCCTTTACCAACAAATACTATTGGATTTCATCATATTTGGTCTTCATGTTTTGCACTTGGATGTCTTCATTTTACAAAAGGATTAGATTTTAATCAAATTGAAATAATGAAACGATTACTTTTTGGAACATATTGTTCTACATTACAACAATATTGTAATCCAATTCAATATCAAGAAAGTTTCAATGAAAATTGTAATTACAATAATAGAGTTAGTACTTTAGTTGGAATACCTTCTTCTTGTATTTGTTTAAGTCTTTCTTATTTCAATACATATAATAAAGATATTATTCAATTACTTACTATTGATGAATCATTACAAGCAATAGCAAATTCAAGACCAGATGATATTTTTATACGAATTTTATCAATTTGTCTAATTAAGTTTGATTCTATTTTACCTTCAGAAGAATGGATTTATTCAAATATTCCTCAAAACCTTAAAAGTAAAAAATTTTCTGTCTTTGAATTAATGAATGCAAAATTTGCTATTGTTTCTGCATGTTGTTATGCTATTTCATTAAGATATGCAGGTACATTAAGTAAACCAATAAAACAACTATTTATTCATTTTTTAAATAAATTAACATCTAATTTAAACTGTGCAATATCAAGTAAAAACAAAGAAGCTCATTTAAATATTCCTCATTTCGATAGATATCAAAAAATTATTCTTCTTTCTTTAAGTATTGTAATGGCAGGTTCACAAGACACAGAAGTAATGAATGTTATTAAATCAATTTATCCTATTGTTGATGAATATTTAACTTATGGTTCTTATTCTATTTTATCTACTTGTATTGGTCTTATTAATGCAGGATTTGGTGAATATTCAATTGAACCATCAAATGAAAATATTCCATTATTAATTGCTTCTTTTTATCCCTTGTTTGAACCATTCTTTAATAATAATATAATTTATCCAAAATATCTTCAATATTTATCAGTTGCCACTTTAAAGAAAAGAATGTATTATTCTTATAATTATACTACAAAACAATATGAAAAATGTGATGCAAATCTTATATTATCACTACCAGGTCAACAATTTTATTGTCAAGAATCAATTCCTATTCAATTACCTTCATTACTCCCTCCAATTCAATTTGTTTATGAAATTGTTCCAAATAATACATCATTTCTTTTTAGCTCTTTAAAAGTGAATGAAGATGGTGAAAGAGTTCTTAGAGTTAAAGATGCTCCTCTTATTGATTATTATAATGACCTTCCTGACTTTTATTCTTCTAATTCAATCATTCAAAAAATGGAACAATCTATCAAAAATACTTTAGACTGGATGACTTCTATCGCTAGAACAAATTATAGAACTCCAATTGATACTCAAATTGTTAAATTACTTATTTATGCTTTTCAAAATTCTAATGATATTAAAATGAAAATTATTGCAGAATCTGTTAATATTTTAATAAATGAATGATTTTTTGTTGTTTTTAAGTAAATTAAATATTTTAATTTGGACTATTGGAATTTATAAAAAATTAATTTTTTAGAAAAGAAAAAAATTAATACAAAATTCTGTAATTTTATTTTTAATTAAATATTCAAATGAAAACACAACTTGAAATGGTTTATTTAATGAATGTTTTACAATATTTTGAAAAATTTAATGATATTATAACATTTTTATTATGTAATAAAAAGTGTAAAGAAGCAATAGATTCAACAAGAATCAATCCATTGATACGATATAAATGTGAGGATAAATCATTACTTATTCCAAAAGGAAGATATATTAATACAAAGAATTTATTATTTAAACAAATTGAAATATTTCCGAAGTTAGAAACAATTGAATGTGATGGAAAATTTATAAAAGAAATAAGAGAAAAATATTCAGAATTAAAACAATATTATTTTAAAATTCACCATTGTAAATATGAAAATTTAAAATACATTCCAATTAAAAATATTAGAAAATTAGATATTATTCTTAATAAAAATGAATATTTAAATTTCAGTCATTTCAATATTTCATGGTTAAAAATAACATTTATTGAATTTTCAATTCATTCAATATATCAAATTATTTATTCTATACCAAAAAATATTAATACAATTATTATAATAACAAATAAACAAATTAATAATATTATTAAATTATTTCCATATTCTAAATGTACAATACAAACTGAAGAAGGTTGTTTTAATAATAATGAATTTAATACAAATATAAAAATACTGGAAAATTATAATAAAAATTCTTTATTATATCTTCCTAAAGAAACTATTATTAAATCAGATAATGAATATAATGAATCAATGTTATATTGTGAAAATATTACATGTACTAATGTAACAGGAAAATATCAATTTTCTAATTATTTAAAAGAATTGTCTATTGAAAAACTTTCTACAAATTTAAATTATTTAAGAAAACTTGATATATTAGATATAAACATCATCTCAAAGAAAATAGAATTACCTCATATTATAAATTCAATGTTTATTAACTCACAACAAATTAATATTAATAATATTATTAATATTAATTCTATTCAAATTAATAAATTCTATCTTTATAATCATCTATTTGTATTATCTAATTTACCAACTTCAATTAATGAATTACATGTAATAAAATCAGTTCTTCCTTTAAATATTAACTTATTACCTCAATTAACATTTTTATCTTTATTTGAATGTAAAACAAATGAATTAATTCTTCCATCTTCATTAAAAAGATTTGAAACAGAGTCATTGATATTAACTAATAATAACTTTAATGATCTTACAACTAAACTTACAAAAGTAATGGTTTATGATGACCATTTTTATCATTTTCAAAACCCCCAACTAATAGAATCATTAGAATTTGGAAATATGAATGAAATTGATATTTCTCAATTCATTTGTTTAAAAGACCTTATCATTGTTTCATCTTCTTTTAAAAATATACAAATACCAAAAACGTTAACTCGTTTTGAGATGGAATATTGTACCATAGTTTCATTATTAGACATTTCTGAAAGTAACATAACTGACCTTTACATTGGATATTCTAATCTTCACACTATCAACTTTCCAACTTCTATTAAAAACTGTTATTTAAGACAAAATCATCCTTCCTTAACGTATGCTCCAAATATAGATAATTTATATCTTAAATGATATTTTTTTATCCCAAAACTAAATTTTTTTAAGATCGCCGTCAAAATATAAACCAGTTACTAACTTTTAGATTCAACGATAAAAAAAAAAGATATTAAAATAAATAATAAAAAATATTATATTAAATAATTAACTAATGATAAACGAGTAACAAGTTGGCTTAAAAAGAAGAATAACAGATCAAAATTTTTATTCATTAGAAATGGAATTTAAAGACGTCACTAATAAAAATTATAAGGATCAAGCTATTTTCTTCCTTAATGCTTTCTGGGCTGAAGCTGGAAAAGATGCAGAAAATATTTGGAGATTATATTTCCTTGTTACTGAACTTGATGTAGAAAATGGAGCAAATGGAAGTAAACTTGATGAATTTGGAGCACATAGATTCTTTGAAAAAGAAGGAATTCCATTCTCAGTCCAAGAGATGAGACAAAAACTTAATGTTTCAGATCCAAAGTTTAAGAAAATTGCATTCATTGAATTTCTTTTATACAAATATAATCAAACCATTAAGGAGTTAATGGCTAGACCTCAAGGAACTAATGAGGCTCTTATAAAAGCACAAAAAGCAATGGAAGATGTACAAAATGAAATTCAAAAGATTGAAGATAAAAAGAAAGATTTAGAGAAGAAAGCTGCTCAAGGAACTGGTGTTGCTGCTATGAGAGCTAATAATGAACTTCAACAACTTCTTTCTGGTGATAAAACTGAATTGAATAGAGCACTTTTAACTGCTGAAGCATCAGTTAGAAAAGCACAAAAGAGTGGAGGAGATGGAGAATCCCCAGCTGGTGCTCTTTGGTGGTTAGCAAGAGAACTTGAAGAAGCAAAGAAATATAAACCACAAAAGAAAGGAGGAGTTGCCAAGTAAGTAATTTTTCTTACATTAGCTAATTGAATTCATTTTTATAAATGAAAAGTTTGATATTTCTTTGAATAGAACTTCTTCTAATAGAATAATAATTTATTCTTTATTCTTTTTGAATGTTTAATAAAATATTTAATTAACAAATCAAATAAAACTTTCATTAAATTATTAAATAAACTAACAACAATCAGAAACAACTCAATTTATTTCTTTTGATTTTTCTTATCAGCTTTCTTGATAGTCTTAGTAGCTTTCTTCTTATCTTCTTTAACATTTTGTTTGTTTTCTAAATTACTTTTAGCAGCTGCTAATTTAATTAAGTTATGTTCATTAATAAGAAAAGCTCTGAGGATTTTCTTTTGGACACATTTATGGCATCTAACTCCTCCATATGCACGAGTAACAGTTCTTTTGCTTTTTCCTAACCATCCATATTGATGTGGTCTAATGTGTCTTATACCAGCAAGAACACATCCACAATCACCACACTTAACTCCATTAGAAATTTTTTGTCTGTGTTGAACAGTCATCTTTCCTCCAGCAGTTTTAACAATTCTGATTCCATTAGATTTGGTATTGTATGAGTGTTTTCTGACGTATGTTACTCTGACAGCCATTACGAGCTAATCAATCAATTTCAGATTATAGGGTTGTTTTTCTTGCTCATTATTTATTATTCTATTTAACTTTTTTATTATTCTTTTATAGAATAACACCTTTTTTTAATATATATAACAAAATATTTCTTTAAATCTGATTTGTTGTTTTTAATCTTTTTTATTCTTTTTTAATACAAAATAATTTTATTAAAAATTATTATCTTTCATACTATCAATTGACTTTATTACCTCAAAGATAAAATAAAATTTAAGATACTTTAAAAAATTCATTTAGCAGGATACACATATAAAAAGGCTGCAGATTTGTATAGGAAAGAATAATTACGAAGGAGGTTCATCAATTTCATTTGTTTTAATACAACAACTTGTTCATCAGTTTCTTTGTCATGAACTTTAACTATACAATTTTTAATATTGTATCTATGAGCTTTATCCCAAGGTAGACCATCAGCCATTAAAGTAAATAAGATGTCTTCTAATTGTGTGTCAGGAGTACAATCACGAAGACAATCACTTTGATTACTTTCAGGATATAATACAATCACAGGGAATAATAAAACGTCTGAATCTTTATCTATATTAATGTTTAATGGAACATACATACCCATATCAGTCATTAAATCAAAATCACGTTGAACAATACCCTTTTTACGTAAAAACTTTTCATAATTTTTAGGTTCTTCCGTGATAGTCATTCGTTTTTTCATTTCAATACAAAAATCTCTTAATTTAATAAATTCTGGATCATTTTTCTTAAGGTTAAGTCCAAGGTCAATACAAACTAAAGCATCATCATACTTATGAAGTCTTAATTTAGCTGTTGCCATTCTATAGTAACATTTAACATTATTTGGAACACATTTTAACGACTCAGTACAATCATCATATGCCCTACCAAAATTTTCCATTTTAATTTGACATGCAGCCCTATTAGAATATAAGGCTGCAAGCAAATTTAAGTCTGTTGGTTTTGCTTGAATACCCTCAGTATAATATTCAAAAGCGTCTTTGATCTTACCAACTTTAAAACATTCATTTCCTTGTTCTCTGAAATTAGTTGCTTGTTCATCTGGTGTTCCTTCATATTTTAATGCTGCCAATGCATCAAACAACTCATTTCCATTTTCTGGTACTTCTGTTGCAAAAAAAGGATTTTGTTCCCATGGGATATTTGTCATGTTTATTATTTCTGGTTTTGTCGATGTTTAGGGTTTTTTTTGTTAAACTAAATTCTTTTTCCTTTTAATTTTTTGTAATATATAACGTATTTTATTTAAATCATTCAAAAAATTTTCATTTGAAAAGAAAAATCAAACAGAAGAAATGTTTTGGTTAAGACTTATGACAGAAATTTTGTTCTGATGAATGACTAATTCAATTATATTTAAAGAAGTAGTTGCAATTCATAAACCATTAATTAAACAATGGGAAATTGGTTGTCTAAAATACTTAGTGTTAAAAAAGAAACAAGAATCCTTATGATTGGATTAGATGCAGCTGGAAAAACTACAATTCTTTATAAATTAAAGATTGGTGATGTTGTTACAACAATACCAACTATTGGATTTAATCTAGAGACTATTGATTATAAGAATCTTCATTTTAATGTTTGGGATATTGGAGGACAAAATAAATTAAGACCTTTATGGAGATACTATTACTCTGGTACAAATGCTATAATTTTTGTTGTTGATTCTAATGATGATAGTGAACGTTTAGATGAAGCAAGAGTTGTTTTATTCAATGTTCTTAATGATGACTATTTGAAAGGAGTTCCTTTACTCATTTTTGCCAATAAACATGACCTTCCTCATGCTAAGAGTGTTAGTGAAATTGTAAAAGGTTTAATGTTATCATCAATAAAAGATAGAGAATGGTATTGTCAAACATCATGTGCAACAAATGGGGATGGTCTTTATGAAGGTCTTGATTGGCTTTCATCAAGACTTGAATAACAATATTTAATTCATTTATGAATTAAATATTTTTTATTTAAAAATAATGTTTGAGCCATTTTCAGTATAATATATTGTTTCGATAAAAATTTTCATCAAATAGACTGAAGAAAACTTCTTAAAGAATCTTATGAATAGTTTTATTGAAAATAAATAAATTGAAATAATTATAGATCATTCTTAATACGAATATACTCACCTGAAAATATCAAAAAACTCTAGAAAAAAAAATTAGAATGACTTATCAAAGTTGTGTCATTATAAAAATAAAAATAATGATAATATCATAAAACCTTATTGTTAATTTAAAATTCTTTGAACAAAAGACAATTATTTCTAATAATTCAAAAAAGAATAATTATGATAAGGTGTTGTTGTTTTTAGAGTTGTGTTAAAAATCAATTTTAGAATTTACTAACTAAGTCATCAAGACTCATTCAGTTTCTAATGATTCTTTATTCTTAATTAAAAAGTGGAATCATTACATTATTAAATTGAGAAATGAAGATAATATTTAGAAAAAAAAGGTTGAAAGAGAAAGATTATTTGTTTTCTTTTTTTTGATAATTGAATTACATTATTGTGTAATTGATAAAATAAAAAAGGAAGAATTATTAAATTGAAGTCTTTAATCATTTAAGTATTATATTTCTACAACTAATGTCTTCACTCTTTTATTTAATTACTCAAAAAAATAAATTTATTATATATTTAGAAAATTATCTTCTAACATAATTGTTTTTAGTATAAATCCTCCAATAGAAATAAAGGATAATAAATTGACAGAAGAATTTTTTTAATTCTATTAAAAAGAATAACAAAAATGAAATACTGAAGACTTTAATATTCCTTTCTTCAAATAAAATAAAAAAGATAATTATTCATTAATAATGTTTAATAATTAGGTTTTGACTACTCATTAACGGTATAAACTATAGAGTTTATCTTTCAGTTTTGGTATTTTAAAGTAAAGTTTCATTCCTGTCAATTTGAGGTGAACAGTTCTTTATCACTTTACCTTTCTATATTATACAAGTTTTTACAAAATAAAAATAAACTTCAAAAATTGGTTAAAATAAATCATAAACTTTTTTTAAAGAAAAATATGTAAATTTTCGGGAATATTTCGTTAAGTTAGGTAGATAAAAAAAGGGTTGAACAGAGAAATGATTCAATCTTAAAAAAACTAGAGAAGTGATGAGTATTTTGGATGAGGGTGTTATAATGTCATCACCTGCACCATCAACTACTCCATGTTTGTCATTTGTCCACAACTATTTATTTTTCTTGGTTTTATTTGTGGATTTTATTACTTTTGGCAAGTATACCAATATTTAAGAAATGAATTTGACACAAAAAGAAAAGTTATTTGAAATATACTAACCTTATGCTGTAGCTATTTCAAAAGATTTTTCTGTTGATGTCATTGAATCATCAGCAACAGAAGCTAATGCTACCAATCGACATGGGACAATCACTTGGTTTAATTTGGCTATTGTTGTTTATTTCTCCATTGGAGGTGGTCCTTTTGGTTTTGAAGAATCCATTCTTGTTTCTAACCCTGCATGGAGTTTATGGAGTTTGTTAGTTATTGCAGTATTGTGGGCACTTCCACAGTCAATGACTATGGCAGAATTATCTGTAAGATTTGAGGGAGGATATAATGAATGGGTATACAAAGCATTTGGATATCACGTTGGACTATTTCATTCTATAGTTAGAACGGTATTTAATGTTTCATGTAATGCTGGATATATGGCATTATATTATGATTATATAAATACCCTTTATCATCAATTTTTATTCTTTGATTTCCAGGATTTTACATGGACATATTTTATATTAAAAATCCCAACATTGATTATTTTTGTTTCTATATTAATCAGTGTAAATATACTAGGGGCTAAAAAGTTATCTTCAGTTGGTGTTATATTAACAGTTTGTGTTATATTACCATTTGTGATCCTTTTCTTTATTGCAACACCAAAATTGGATTTAAGTCAACTTGTTAATTTCAATGTTGTTTCTGATGAGGCATCTTTTCCTAAAATGATTAGTATTGTTATGTTTAATTTAATGGGATGGGATTTTGTTGGAAATGTAAGTTCACAAGCTAAAAAACCAAAAAGAGATGTTCCAATAGCCATGGTTGTTGCATTATTACTTGTTGTAACGACATATATCATTCCTACTATGGATTTAGTTACTACATTAGATTTTACTATTCCTCCTTCACACTTAGATTCACCATACACATCTATTGAACCTTTATATGTTGCTATGGCAAATAAATTATGGCAACCACTTTCATATGTTATTGAAGTAGCTACAATTTGCGGTGTATTTGGATTAGCAGCAATGTTCTTACAAACATCATCTCAAGGTTTATGTCATGCAACTCAATTCAATTTCCTTCCAAGAATTTTTTCTCGTTCCTTTGCAGGAACTGCTACACCATACTTTGCAATTTTATTCCAATCTGTATTTTCTTTCTCTATTGCAATTTTTGTAACATTTAACCAAATTGTATCACTTCAA